GCTGGTGGGTTTGAACCGCCAGCCGTCTGGTTAGACCCATAGAGACTGTAAAACAAACACTGCCACCTCCTTCGCCGACTTCACAGTTCTTGCTGTGTTTGAACCCATTGTTGTGGCAGCTGGATCCCTCCGTCTCATTGAGGGCCGCTGACCCTTTTCATCATCAATCACGATGTCCTTCTGCGGGATCTGGTCCCTTTTGACAATGTGTCCAAAGCACGTGAGGCAATGTCTCACTGTCCTCGCTTCTAAGGAGCATCCTGGCTACTCTCCTTCCAGGACTTTTGTTCATTCTCTGACAGCACATGGACTATTCAGGTTTCCTCACCAACATCCTCATCCGAAGGCATCCGTTTTCCTTTGGCCTTCCTTATACATTGTCCAGCTTTATGAAGTAAATTTACTGGGAGTAAATTCTGACTGATGTCTTTACTAGTTTTGTTTTATTTTTTAGGGTGGCTATTCTCTCTGGGGTATACTCTTCCTAGCTGTAAGATAAAGAGTAACTAAAGGACTTACATAAATCTAACTATTGAAATATGCGTAGTTGGTTTAATGAAATCTTGGAGAGAAGTAAGGAAACAGAATACAAGGAGTACTTGAATTATGGCATACTTGAGTTGCCATGAACCGCACTTAAAAGTGTTTGTTTTGTACACTTTATCATTAGTAATATGTAACATCCTAAATAATACTCTCTCTCTTTTCATGTTCATTTACTGGAAGAGTTGTTGTTGTTGTTATGTGCCATTGAGTATGACGTGACTCATAGCAACACCTCCTTGGGTTTCTGTGGCAGTAACACTACAGAAAAAGATTGCTCTATCTTCCTTCTGAAGAGCTGCTGGTGGGTTTGAACCACCAACTTTCTGGTTAGCAGTCAAGTGCCTTAGGCACTATGCTACTGTTGTCATGTGTTAAACATAGTGTACAAAAACCAAGGTTGTGTTCTTAACATATATTCCAACACCAGGGCTCTTCCCGTACCATCTATAAGACTACAGCCGTGTCATTTACTTACTTAATAAGGTGTTTGTATACCTTATCATTAGTAACATGTACTGCATACGGTGTTGCATATAATTTTCTGACATTAT